TAAAAGTAGCCAAAGCAGCAACAACAAAGAATAGAACAAAGTACTCAAAAATGCTGAATAATAGGTCAGTGATAAAATATTCAGACCAAATTGCTATCCTCTTGGTTTCTGCTGCTGGCACTGCCACTGTGTGTTTCGGGGGTAAAAGTTTCACCTTAGAACTTGGCTTCTGCCTTTTAAAAAGAGGGGACTGAATTGATTTCTGATGCCTTTTCTGACTATAAAGTTCAGTATTTCTGTTCGCAAACAATGAAGGAGAGTAAAGAACAGCACAGATATACAACTTCCCCCTAAGTCAGGTATTTTAAGGGTTAATAAAGACACAGAGTGCTGCTGTTTGCACACCTCTTAAAAAGAGAGGTTCCCTATGTGGACCCCAGGGGGCTACCTGAGCACTGCTTTATTAATCACCCACCTTCTGTCCTGTTTGATGTGCACGCACAGAAAGCCGTAATAGTCGTGTGTAATGTGTTTTGGAGTGCAGTGTATTGCTCTTTTCTGAAACTTTTTCCCTTTCTTTCTTTTTTTGTCAACTTTCTGCATTGGCAGAGCATCTTGGGATTGAATTTATGGGTATGGACCAATCATCATTCCTTTTAGCCTGCAGAATTTAGAGCCTATGAGCTTACATCTTTTTCCCTTCCTACTCTTACCTTTCAGTTCCTAACTAATTTCCTTTTTCTTTAGAAGGGGTCATACAGCTATAACAATGATTTCTTTGCTTTCAATCTATGATTAGTTTACTGAAATGTTACTAAGTGCAGCAGCTTTTATAATCCCAAATTTCACTTTGGGATAAAAATTCACACCTGCTGCAAATTCATACCTTTCCCACATTCCCACTGATTAGATCTAGCTATGGTGTTATATTAAATCTGGGGTAGGTTGGAGTGGTTCAGAAAGCTACAGAAAGAATCCAAACTAGAGACTTGAGAACAAAAGCTTTTAAATATATCAAACCTAAGAAACACATCACATAGAAGTTTGACATACCAGGTAAAAATCAAGAAAAAGCCCCTATATTATAATAACAATATTATATGCAAAAATTTGAATTATCTTGATTTTCATAGATGTTCAAATACTGTTGTAGTCAACTTCATTATCTTATGAGGAAGGAAATAGAAAACAGAAAGAAATATGCCTGGTGCTATTTTAGGTAGAAATTCTAGTGCTAATGGAATTAAATTTGAGTCACTAAGATTATCCAGACAAGTAATCAAATTGAGAATTTCACACTGCAACCATAAAGAGAATATGTCATATGAGCCTATGAAATAAAATTGAAGGTACTCTGTTTGGAGACCATCATCCTAAGTGGTGGTGGTGTTATGTGTCCTAAGTAGTTGAGAAAAAAGGCCAGAGATTGGAGAGGAGCAGGGAAGCTGTGCTGCCTCTGCAGAGACCCCACAGAGCTGCCCCAGCAGGTTTCTCTGAACCCAGCACTCAAGGTCTGCAGTGTGGTGGTGGGTCAACAAAGCAGGGTCCTGATTAACAGGACAACTTACCATTCAGCTGGTCTCCCTGGCCTCATGCACACAGGGCAGCAGCAGCTGCTGCTTGCTGTTGAATGCTAACATTACTGTCTATACCTAATAACCTTTCCATAATTGGTGCAAATGAGGCAGTTGCAAGCTCCAGCATTTACAGACATAGAAACTCAACTACCCATCTCCTTAAAAACACACCGTAGGAGAAAACTCTTGATGGATGGGGAGTGCCTCCAAATCTTTGTCAGTGCCCTTTTGCACATCGGAGAATGTCTCCTAAGAGTACAAAGCACAAGAGGACACAGAACCATCACTAGAGTGACACGTCGTCTGTGTTAGGAGAACTGTGTGTCGGGGTTAATGCCCTCAGGATGAAGGTTGTTCCACTTCTGAAAAGGCTGATTGACCATTATTGCAGGCTATACCCTTAAGGAAAACCAGACTTAAAGTTCAATTAAAACTGAAAAAGACAAGGACCCTGTCTCTTGGCATGGTGAGATCAGACTGAAAAATGACTCACTAAAATACCTCCAGCCAAACCTTAAGTTTCAGAAGCATTTCCACTCATGGCCAACCTGCCAACTGGACAGATTCTTTTCCTTTTTTTTTTTTTTTTTTTTTAATTTTTCACTCTTAATTTACTCTTGCCCTATTGTTACAGTATGGGGGAAAAAAAAATAAGAAAGGGAGTTAAAAGAACCGTTCATTTATATTACTCTTCAAGTATTCTTCCCTTACCACATTAACATTAACATGTTAATATTATGTATAAAATCATAGGAAAATTAAATAGAAATTTGGGTGAAGGTGTGTAATACATTCACAAAATGCTGATGGGAATACAGGGTCTTAATCCTGTATCTGTATTCTATGACTTTAATTGGTTCATCTTAGGTGTTTTGCATTACCCACTAGCTTTTATTGAACTACCTTTTATTTCTATGAAATAGTCCATTCCATGGCCGATTTTAGTAGGAAACATGTTTTCTTATATAACATGGGAAGAATGAGTCTCATACACCATTTGTTCACAAACTCAATCTATTATTTTATAATTAACAACAACCACAAAAAATTTATCAAAATTATCCCTGAGAGTACACGTGATACCTTTTTTCCCTTTAGCCTTTCCATATGCCCCTATTTTTGTAATTTGCAGAAGCGATTTCCCAGCTGTTCCTAAAGATAGAATGTTAAGGTGTCAGAGAAAAAGTGCTACCATGGCCTTACAGTTTTTAAAAAAGAAAAACTAAGCATAAGGGGACACAGTAAAGTAAGGCCTTCATTTTCTTGGCAAAAATGCTTCCACTCCTGTTTAATAATCAACTCATCACAGCCTAGGGAGCCTTTCTCTGTGGTCTTTTGTCTGTGGAAGAGGACTTGTGGGGTGAGACCTCTGCTTCTTAGACATACATAAGCCTGATCAGGATGCCAAGTTCAAGAAAGAAGCTACAGTGGCATTAAGCTCACAGATTAACACCCCATAAAAATTATTTTCCTGTCTTGTGGCTGTTGGGGGGGGTTGGATGGGGGACACAAGCAATTAACACATAAGCATCCAGGTGTCATGTCCTCATTTGACTTTTGCATCACAGTAAATAGGTGACACCAACTCTGTTTCCTGGTGCATTGCTTCACTGCAGTTCACCAGCTGCTTTGCTTTCTAATTGTGGCTTCCACATGCCTGCTAGCCTAGATTAGGAGTTATGCTGTATGGGATCACCCTTCCAACTTTGCATCCACCTTTTTTCCCCACCCAAGCATTTCCTCCCTCTGGTTTTATTTTATTTATTTTTCCTCCCTTAGTATCAGGCATGCTGTGCCAGGGACTTCAGACGGCTCCTTAACTTTTAACCTTGTTTTCCCTTGTACTTTACTTCCTCACTCGCTCTGTCATTCTGTCAGTCTGTCTGTCCTCTTGGTTTACTTCTCCTTTCCACTTCCAACCTTTTGGAGTTTGTTTTTGTATACTATATGAAGTGTTCTAGTCTTTTACCCACTGACTTCTATTCTCCTTTTCCTCCTGTTAGTAATAATCAGTGTTATATTAATTTGATTTGACAATGTTCCTGACCTGTTAACTGGAATTTGATTATCATGGGCTTGGCTTGTAGGAAATGTTTTGTTTAATGATAAGGTTCACTGTATCATAGAAATTAAAACTCACTTTTTCATTTCAAGAAAACGTCCTTTGAGTTACCTTCTCTCAATAGAGAAAACAGTGGAGTTGCTGAAAGTGGGAATGTATGTTGGAAATACTCCTTGTGGGTCTTGTATCAATGTCCACATAAGACAGCTTCATTTGTACAACATTCCCAGGTTCTTGACCAGCTTATTATTTAGAATGACAAGTAAATAGTTTATGCTGCTTATTATGTACCAGTTGAGTTCTCTTCTCAGTGAACTCGTGACTATCTTCGAATAAGTATAATTAGACTTGTTGGAAACTCAGATCCTGAGGGATCATCAGGTCACTCTTAAATCTGCAAATCTTGTTAAGAACCTGACCTACCTTGGTATAATCAAATTATCCCCCAAAGAAACTGATTTGTAAATTGAGAAACTTCCTGAATTGGAGACTCTAATATTGTATTTGAGGTACACCAGGGATCTTAGTTCAAAGTTCTAAGTTCTGAGCATCACACTTCTTTAGGATAACCTACATTAGCAATAATTTGCCAAGGTGGCAAACGTAGAAATATGCAGTCTATTCCATATCACACATCATTTGTGTTAGTGGATTCTTTATACAGATAAATCAGTTCTTTAAGGTTGGTGAAGTAATAAGAGTTGTTCTATAACAGTCAAGTCTTCAATTTGGCCCAGGACATTCTTTCTTATCCTCCTGAGCTTTCTCTGATGCAGTGCCCTGCTGCTCAATATTGTGTTGCTTTTTTTGTTCTCGTTTTGTGGTTAAATCATAGGGATCTGGGCTCAATTTGTTTGCTAACTACAAGCCAAGCTCATATTTGCAAATGTTTTTCAGTTTATTTTTAAAAAATAATAATTATAAACGGTTCTTTGCAAAGACCACTGGAATATAAAGTGATAATATAAAATAGCGGGGAAATAAATACCACGGAGGAGGGAGGAGCGAGCAAGGGAGGGATGCAGCGGCACCAATCCCAGCTTCCTTGTTGGTGCTGATTCCTGTTGTCTTTGCAAGAGATATTTTCAAAATAAAACTACAAATCTTGATCTAATAGTTATTTTATAATTAATGTTCATGATTTGCTAATTTAATAGCACAGCTTCTATATGTATAGCTTGTGATTAATGTTATAGTTTGATTTTTTAAATTGTAAATGGCCACAGCTGATTTTTGCTGTTGGTGCTCAAAATAGTGAATAATATTTTATACCTGAGTTACAGTTGTAGATTTAATGAGTTGTCATGCCATTTATTTTCTTATGAACTTGGACAGTGCCATTCAGCATGCCAACTGTTCTAGTGTTAAGCCCTGGCATTTGTAAGTGATCTGTGGTGACATTTGTTCTCATCCCTTTCCAGAAGCTGAGGAGCTCTACCAGAAGAGAGTGCTGACCATAACCGGCATCTGCATCGCCCTGCTTGTGGTCGGCATCATGTGTGTGGTGGCCTACTGCAAAACCAAGTAAACCTCCGTGCCTTACGCTCTCCTTAGCACAGAGAGGGATCACGAACAAAGGCTTTGGCAGAAATCTGGCTCCACAAGCCAGGCTCATGATAAAAGGGAGGAGGGGGAGGCTGATATTTTGATACTTTACCGTACCTGGTTTTCCTCTGAAAAATCCATTTCAAGGTCCTTTCCTCTTCACATACATTAGAAACTTCTGCCTACTTGTGTGAGAGTGTTTACATTTTTGATAAGTGACCACTGCACCATAAGTGAAGGTAGAATTGGGAGACAGGCTCAGGTGGGGCACACATGTGCACATGTGTTTGTGGGTGCACAAACCACACACTAAAAATTGAGGAATAGACCCAAGGGTTGAGTCTATCATATTGCTGCTAAGGACAAGTCCATTTGAACTGAAACCTGGGCAATAAATAATCACTATAACTTACAGAGGGAGAACTCTGGTGGCATAGTGGCTAAGGCACCAGATGGCTGCTGACTGGAAGGCTGGCAAAACTGCATTTCAGTAGCCAAATTGAAATGCAGTTTTCTGGAAGTTACAGTGCTTATTTTTCAAGTCTGTCTAATTAGGTCACCTGTACACATGTTCTCAAAGTGTAAGATGTGAAAAAGGAATCACATGGGAGGATAATCAAGCAAAATATGCTTTGAAAGAATAAAAGAGAAGACATCGAAATAGATGTCACTGTGTTTGGTATCTTAAAATGGTCTGTGTTCACAAATACAATTACTGTATGACAGGAATTCCTTTCAGTTTCCCCTTATGTATACCTTCTCCAAGTTTCAGTAATGTTAAATTAACAACCTTATTTTTTTTGCTTCATATCATAATATTTTCTTGCCAGCACTTCTTTATTTCTATAAGTTTCATCAGTGATTTCAATACAATAATAGGATATTATTATGATCTGAATGTTGCATTGAAGAACGAACACAATATGCTTTTATATCACAAAATCAAGGGCATGGATTGTATTTTCCCAATACTCATGTTGTTGTTGTTGTTATTTGCCGTCGAGTCGGCCCTGACTCATAGCGACCCCTCCTTGGGTTT